CAGACAGACAGACAGACAGACACCAGTTCTTACTAGCTTTTGATCTGTAACTCTGCTCCTGTCACCTGGGCTCTGTTCCTCCACTTGTGTTGGCATCCACCCGAAGGGTTGGGAGAAGCCTTTGCAGAACAGGTCAACCTTGTGTAGGAAGTTAAAAATCCGCCCCTCTCGTAGAAAAATGAAGCATCCTGGGAAATATTGAAAAAGGCAGAATGTTATAATTCCCCTGGATCGGAAATGGAGAAACGTGTTTTGAGGCAGGAAGAAGACTGACTCTTAATCGCCCCCTCCTTTGTCAATGGGCCATTAAAAAGCCCGGGGCCAGTCTACTCTACATAACAAAGACCTCCCCCTTCCATCCAGGGTGATGGGATTAAGGCCTGATAGGATTAGCCCTTTTACCCATCTCACCACAGGGCACCTGGGAAGAAGCGATGCTCAACCAAACGTAGACTCACACCCTACAGAGTTGCCCTTGCATGGCCCCCCTGGGAGTCTGACAACCAATCAGAAGACAAGATGAAGATCAAAGGCCAGAGAGGGGATAAAACCAGGGACTTTCAGCATCTCGCTCTCTTTTCTTCTTCACCCAACCTCTGGAAGCCTCTGATCCCCCTTTTCTGTCCAGCAGCTCAAGCCACTTGGTCCTGTCCACCATTAAACCATCTTTCCAAGCAGCCTCCGTGTTTCCAGTGTCTTTTCCCCCCACTTGGAGCCGAACCCAGAAGGACGTTTCTCCCAACACTTGGGTTAGAATGAATCTGGGGAGCTAATCTGGGGAGGAGCTTTACTTGTTCTGGAAATCCGGGGCTCTTCGGTTTATGTTTCAATTTATTTATTTATCTATCTACTTAGGGGATTTATATTGCCGCCTATTCGCACAAGGCGATTCAAGGCGGTTACAGAATATAAAACTCCATATAAAAACAATAAAACTAATTTAAAAAGGGTCATATAATAAATTAATATACTAAAATCACCTCCTGCCCACACATCGACAACACATCACACGAGCCATTAAATGGGCATCATCCCGCCCTGGGTTTCCCAGGCCTCCTGGCACAACCAATCAGGCCTGCAGCCATATTTTCCTTTGGGTCTCTGGCCTGCCACACTTTCTATTCTTTTGCTATGCATTTTCCATGGTGGGAAAACGAGAGGGGAGATTGTATGGAGGTAGATGCTATGTAGCCATAACAACATTCTTTCTAGAAAGCCAAGGCCATCCTTTGTCTCTGCACCTCTGCACCTGACTGGAACTGGATGGAAGGAAGCTGCCAGCACGGCAGTGGGAGATTGGACCATGGGATGGACTGGTGGGTGTGAGAGCAAGATCTTGAACTTTCAACTGGGAAAATCTGGGAAGCTTTCAAATTCGGGTTTTCCCAGATGCGCCAACATGGCTCTCTTCATAAATTGGAACTTTGAGGAAACTTTTGCCTCGACTCTGATTTACTTTTGGATGCTATTTGGAACCCAGACATCTAACTTACAATATTATGTGGTATAATTCCAGTTTGGGTCAGATCCAGAATTGCAACAGACTTTGCCAATTGGATGCCTACCTAAATAAAAAGAAGCTTGTTTTGGAAGATGGATTTTGCGTGCTGCTTTTTTGAATGGGTTTCATCACTGACAGAAGAATTAGCTGTTGGAAGGGCTTGCCTCCAGAAGCTGCGGGTGCTTCAACACTGGAGTTTTAAAGAAAAGAATGAACAGCTGTTAGGCTGAAATGGTAAGGGGTCTCCAGCTCGAGCAGGGGGTTGGACTAGAAGACCTCCGAGGTCCCTTCCAACTCGGTTATTCTATGTTCTACTGGCAATCTTTTACAATGATCACTTTACAATGAGCAAGATCACGTGAAGGGTTAATACCACTTTATAAGGCCTTGGGAAGGCCACACTTGGAATCCTGCACTCAGTTTTGGTTGCCACGATGTAGAAAAGATGTGGAGACTCT